TATTGTGTTGGCGATGTATGTTCCTATGTCGACTGACGACTGCGCAACACACCAACATTAATAATTAATGTTGTTATGATACACAGTGATGTTGTCTGTCGACGGCACAATAGCATCGTCGGAAAAAGAAAATAACATTATTGTGTTGACCGATCAACCAAACAAAAATAGAATTCAGGAAATCCATGATTGTTATTCGTATTTGGGAAATCTGATTCTAAAATTATCAAATAAATCGTAATAGAATTGCGTGCCTTTTTAGCATAAATCTCATATTTGGGAAATCATATTCTAAAAATCAACTCAAAGCTCTAAAAAATAATTAAATTTATAGAAATAAAATAAACATAATCGAATCCCCATCAAAATTCAAATAATAAAGTTAACTTATTACACCTTTCAGAATAAATTTACTTCTATTTATAATTGATAGATGGAAAAAATAATTAAACACACCAAATAAACCATTAATTCCAAGAGAAAATGAATAATAATCCTATTAAGATCAAATGCATTTTACTATATTTCATCCTATCAATAAACTCTTTTCAATCGTCAGCGTGTTTGTTTAAAAGATTTTCGTACACAGTTCACGTTGTCAACAATCTCCCTCAGAATACAGATCCGTTAGTCATACACTGTGCATCGAGGGATAACGATCTTGGATACCACAATCTAACCACCAAACAAGATTTTCACTTTCATTTCTGCATCATGATAAAGTCGACTTTGTTCTTTTGCCACCTTTGGTGGGGTAGTAAAACGAAAGCTTTTGATGTTTATAATGCGAGGTGGACTCCCGATAAATGCGTCGACCATAGTTGCTACTGGGAAGCACGCAGTGACGGTATTTATTTCTCTGGCTCGTGGCCTCCGGAACCTCTAGCGAAAGTATACGATTGGGAATAATTATATTCAAAAAGTCTCATCGATCAATACAATTGTGCGATATGAGATCGAAGTAATGTAGTTTAGTGATAGATTAATATTTATTTAATTTGTAGATGAATGTCTTCCTGAAATTAATAAAACTTATTGAAAAAATTAATAAAGTGATTTTTTCATGTATCCACATTTTTCTTTGGGCAAATTACCAAAACCCCCCTGAGGTAAGCCTAAATAACGAAAATCCCCCCATGTTCTCGTAATTACGAAAACCCCCCTTGACTAACGGTTGACCGAATTTTTTTAACCGAACACGTGAAATGTCTATTATATCCTTCTGTTAAATATGTGAAAATAAAAGAAAAAAGCTGAAAAAGAAATTATTTTGAGGGTGGAGATTTTGCTGAGCTCCGGCGGGAGTTTTCCGGTGAGTTGCTTCTTGAAGAGGAAGAGCGATTCGAGTTTCGTGAGGTTGCTGAGTTGTTTAGGGATTTGGCCGGAGATATTTGCGTCGGAAATCTCAGATTCCCCAGCTCCGGCGGTATTGCGCCGCCGAGGAAATTTCCGGCGAGGTGGATGAACTCGAGCGATTTGAACGAGCCGTACTCCGGCGGGATTGGACCGCTGAAGTAGCTTCCGGCGAAATTCAGCACTTTGAGAGACTCCACCTGAGAGACGTCGGCCGGTAGGTTTCCGGCGAAGCTGTGGCTATCAGTGGCTTGGCCCCGTCTCGCCCGAACATGAATATAATCAGGTTTTTGAACCTCGGAAAATTTGGAGCTTTCCTTCGAACAAGTGTTTCCGGAAGTTTCCATTTCGGTTTTCGCGGTGATCTCCGATTTCTCTTCCTCTGCTTCGACTATGTTTTCGTTGTTTTCTTCGATATCGAACTGAGATTTAAAACACGAACGAAAGAAATAATTAAAATTAAAAAAAAAAAAAATCAGATCCCATAAATAACATAAGTAGTATTATTATTATTATTATTATTATGAAACCTGTGCTTTTCTTTTTTCTCTATTGATCAAGCTACTACTGTTGCATTGCCATTCGGGTTTCGGGATTGAGTGGTAAGGGAACTGGTGAGATAGATCGACGGCGGAGAGGAGGTCCACGTGGCGGGTGTCTTGGTTGTGCCAAGAATTGGTCTGTTCTTGATAGAGGCGGTGGCGGTGGTGGAGTAGGGCGGAGCTCTGCTTTTGCTCCATGAGATTTTTTCCAGAGGAAGAAGAAGATGATGACGTGGATGGTGATGATTGGTGGAGGCGTAACATTAAAATGCTTACAATTACCCCCTAAGGTTAATTTCGTGTACAAGGGCAAAATTGGTATTATCGGAGGAATATTCGGGAGAATCAAAAAGATTCTATCGAGTCTAACACCGTTAGAGCGATTTGTAAGACGTCTGCATACCTCAGGGGGGTTTTCGTAATTACGAGAACATGGGGGGGATTTTCGTTATTTAGGCTTACCTCAGGGGGGTTTTGGTAATTTGCCCTTTTTCTTTACTTTAATAGCTGTTATATATATGTGTATATATACACACATATATGTATTTATATGTATATATATACACATATATGTATACGATTTTTAAATGAGAAATTAAACTCTTATGATTTATTAAGTAAATTTAGAAAAAATAATTTTTGATTTAGTTTTACGATATAAAAACCATGACGGCAGCATTTAATTAGAACTTATTCTATGCTATACACCATATGTATAATACATCAGGTAGATTTTTACTATTCATTCACGCACATACACACGCATTGACATGTGTAAATAAATGGTAAAAACAACTCATCTGATGTAACATTCACCGGCTATAGCATAAATTTGAACTTTAATTAGAATTTTGTATGACCTGTATTAAATGGAGAAAGAAGATCAAAGTTTTGCATTATATTACAAGGAAATAAATATAATTGAATAATCTACTCCATTCAGAATAGGCAACAAACATAATTGAAAAATCCAACTAATGGATTCTATTAATCAATTATATTGAAAAATCCGATTTTGTTAATCAATTTCAATAAAGTTTTCCGGATTTTGTTTTTCAACCCATTTAAGTGACATATTGCAAACACCATTCTACATAAATTAGAGCAAATGAAAAACAAAATCATGATCGAATACATTTTGCTGTATTTCATTATATCGATTAACTCTTTCCAAGCGTATGCGTGTTTTTGGGGTAAGAAAGTTTCTTATACTGTTCATGTTGTCAACAATCTCCCTCCAAATACGGCTCAACTAGTTGTACACTGTGCATCTAAAAATGACGAACTGGGATACCATAATCTGACCACCAAGCAGGATTTTAACTTTCATTTCTGCAAAAAACCTAAGGCGACGTTGTTCTTTTGTCATCTCTGGTGGGGCAATAAAAACAAAGCATTTGACGTTTTTAATGCAAGGTGGGATCCCGATATATGTGTGGACCATAGTTGTTACTGGGAAGCACGAGGTGATGGTATTTATTTCTCAGGCACTTGGCCTCCAGCAAATTTTGTACTAGTGCACAATTGGGATTGAGAAACTTTGTCATCAATAAACTTTTGAAATCTCATATCTAAATTAATAATATGAATGAGTGTGAGAGGGTCCTTTGAGAAATTATAAAACTTCTTAAGTGATTTTTTATTTAATATTTTGCTACGTCTATTGTTTATCTTATATTTTTTTGTTATAAATAAATTTATCCACTTATATGCAGATTTTGTAGGACCTACATCTGATGAGATACACCATCTGGTTTTAGACCATAGATCTACACATAATAATACACCCACCCATATGTATGTATGTTTAGTGGCTAGTTATTTATGTTGATCTACGGTTTAAACCACATTATGTATTTCATCTGGTCTAGGATCTCGTAAGCCCTTATATGCTCGCGCGCGAACACACACACTAAATGTTATAGTTTCACGAAATTGTGTTGTGCTCAAATTGTTAAGACAAGTAGGCAAGTAGAATTCCCTTCTTACCAAAATATTGATACTTCAGTTTATTTACCAATGCATAATGTTTTCCCTTCTTGCAAATATCGAAGTTTTTATTTGTATTGTTTTATGCGTACACTATTAATAAAGAAAATCAGGGACGTTGCCCCCGTACCTCCCATAAAATTTAGTCAATATGCATACGAACAACGGCAGCTGATAAAACTACGAAATATATATATATATATATATATATATATATATATCGGCTTACGAAAAGTAAAAAATGTCACAAAGATTGAATTGAAAAACTAATTACCGACTATTTATAGCAGCTAAGTAGTGACAATTTGAACCGACTGTACTTCAGTTGCACCGATTCCGTAGTAAATATTTGTACTGAAAGTATTGGCTTTTTCGACACCGTCAATCTTGGCCGTAAACGTCATATACAAAATATAACCCGCGCACGGAGATGAGGTTGCTTCGATCACTTCGACCAGATCGTATCTTGTGGACTACACACACATAACCGAAAAACAAAAGCAACAAGTCATTAACCATTAATGCGAGGAAAAAATAAAAAGGGGAAAAATACGGTTTCCGTCCCTCAAGTTTACAACAACTTCATATTTGGTTCCCACGTTCGCAAAAAACACATTTGGTCCCTCATGTTTCAAAAGTTCAACACTTCTAGGTTTTTCCGTCAAATTTCCGTTACCATTAATAGAATCAAGCGTGTGCCTTGTACTGCTTTAACTGGCGGATTAACGGTAAATTGACGGAAATGACTAAAAGTGTTAAATTATTGAAACATGAGGGACCAAATTTGTTTTTTGTGAACATGGGGTCAAATGTAAAATTTGTACAAACTTGAGGGGTGAAAACTGTAATTTTCCCCCAAAATATATATATATATATATATAGATATATATATATATATATATATATATATATACATACTGATATGCTAAATCCCACACCAATTTTACCAAATCATACACATAATTGAAAAAATTTCTCTCTCTAAAATCTCATCTTCTCATTCCCCACCCTTCTTCTTTTTCCCTAACTTTTTCACAAAATCACACACTAAAATCGTCCATATCATTCCAAGTTCGAATTTGAGAAAAATCTTCATGTGTTCAAACTAAAATAAAGTTGGAATTTGAAAAAAAAAAAATCGAATTGATATGAATTTAAATAATTAAAAAGGCATAATGAAATTAAAAAATATTAAATAAACCTAAACTCACTTTTTATGATTAACCACGTGAAAGATTAACGAATTTTGATTGACTTGGAAAAAATCATCGTAGAAAAAAGTTCGAGAATATAAGTAGAGAGAGATTTTTTTTTAATTTATA